CGAGAGTAGAGCCGAAGATGTCGTCAGATTCATAGACGAAAGAGTAACTTGTAACATACCAAATAAAGATACCTGTCCACAGCTACACTTAAATTGTTACAAGGTACCAGTTACACAAGTGCAGCAATTACTGTAAGAAAAAGAGAAAGTTTAGCAAAAACGTGTTTGTTACAAAGTGCAAATTTGGATTTCCTCGCCCAGTTTCCGAAGAAACTGTACTGAAAAATGTCCAACAAAGCATGAAAGCAGAGAAAAGGATATATCACCTTAAACGGAGCGAGGAAGAAGTGAGAATCAATGATTACAATCCTCTGCTTCTATTATTATGGAAGGCTAATATCGATGTATCCTTTACCAGTGAGTGTTCTCTTGCTCTGGCCGATTATGTAAGTGGCTACGTGACAAAGGCAGAAAGAGGTCACATGCAGGATCTCTGGCAAGACATCTTAGATGATAGAGGCATCTACAGTAAATTGTTTAGAATCGGCATAAGATGTCTCGACAGCCGACCCATTGGACTATACGAAACATGTGATATATTACTCGGTGAGCCACTTTGTAGAAAATCGAGAGAGGTATCATGGATCGATGTAGAAATGCCGCATAAAAGAAAACGAAATTTAACAAAGAAACTCAGTGAAGTTGAAGAAATAGCAGCAAACGATCCATCAACTGAAGACTTTTATGGGGAGGGCCTTGTCACTCACTTTTATCCAAACAGAGCCCAAGAACATGAAGAATATTGCCTTTATGACTTTGTAGCCAAACTCACTTACAAGGGCAAGGATAAAAATGGCGAACGAATCTATAGACCACTACAGAAAGAGCGCCTTCCTAACTTCATTGATTTCGATGTCTATAAAGAAAATCAGAGAGACAGTTTCTATTATGCCATCATTCTCCTTTTCGTGCCGTTTAGAAATGAGGATGAATTAGTTCATGATGGTGAAACTGTCCAAGAAGCATTCGATCGCCACATTGTCGACCACGAAAGGTGTGTCGAAGCAAATGAGAAATTTAGAAAGTTGCTCAAATGTAGAGAGAAATTAAAAGACATACAAGATGCCAGAGCAGCAAACAGAGAAGAGGAAAATGATGTGGAAGACGACGATCCACAACTGATGGGACAGATTAAAGATGCAATGAATGACGTGAGAGATATGGACACTGGATCTGGTCTCACTCTGCAAGAGAGAGAATCGATGCTAAATGTAGACCAAAAACGCATCTTTGATCACGTAAAAGCTCATCTCTTGAGGCAAATTGAATACGAAAATAAATCAAAACAAGAGAAAGAGCAATCAGAAAGTGTAAAACCGTTGCACATGTTCATCAGTGGTGTGGGTGGCACCGGTAAATCTTTTCTTATTGAGGCAATTAAAGCACTAGTGAAAAGCCTCTGGTCAACACTGACCAAACAGACATGTGCAGTTTGTGCTCCAACAGGATTGGCAGCTTACAATGTGGGAGGTGTGACAGCACACAGACTGTTTCAGCTGCCAATAGAACACGATGGACAATGTGCCTCATACTGGTCCATACCAAAGGCTAGTCACAAAGTAATGAAAACAGAACTTCAGGATCTGAAAATGGTAATCATTGATGAAGTGTCCATGGTTTCTAGCCTCAATCTCACTTACATACACATGAGAATGAATGACTTATTCGAATCAGACGAATGGTTTGGTGGCAAGAATGTCCTCTTTGTTGGTGACATCCTTCAATTGCCACCAGTTCGTGGACAACCAGTGTTTGACAAAGTAACAGCATCAACACTGAAATACAGACTTGGTAGTATGGGTGCAGTGAACATATGGCGTGATACTGTCACCTATGACGAAT